GTCACGAGAAGTACTTTGCAGATAATATATATCTTGTTACTGCATTCAACTTCAGCTCCTGTGGTAAAGACAGCTAAAATGCTAACTTTAATAAATGACCATCTTGAGATGGCACATTATCTGATGTAAAGCAGACTGAGCAAGAACTGAGACATTTAATTCCTCAAGTAACCTTCTGCAGCAATTGTGTTCAACAATTCACTTGTAAATACATTTTTCAATTGCTTCCCTAACATGCAGAAATTGTGTCATAAATGAGGGCTCCTGATGATCTGCTGAGTCCTGTCACCTTTCTGAAGCACTAGAATCAACACATTCCCAGTGTGCCAGGCACCCCAGGTCACATGGCCATATATTTCTGGAAGAAGTGGAAAAGATTAGTTTTCCATTTCATTTCTAAAGTATAATGTTTTATTTCCTTTCATATGCCAGTCGCGTTCATCAGCTAAGACGAATTCCCTGCTTTGCCCTGACCCATCTGCCTTCACTAAAAATGTAACCCTGCTTTTATTTTTGCTTTGCCAAACAAATTCCTATTGCTTCCTGGCATGAGGTCATTCCAGGCAAATACTGGTACGTCATCTCTCTACCCTCCTGTCACCTGCTACTGCAGACTCATACTTAGGATTCTGTACGCAGGCACTGATGGGCAATAATACATAACTTCACTGACTCATATTCTTTGTGAAAATGGCAGACCTTTTCAGGCAGTGGAAAGCAATCCATTTCAACAGCTAAGAGCTTGTCCAAACATCTTTAATACCACTACTTTCTTTAAAAAGGGAATATTTTAAAGAAATTACTCTAGAGTGTACTGTTTTCAAAGTTCATGAGCTACAAGCTCTAAATAATTAAAAGACATTTTATCAGCAGTTTCATTTTGTTTTAATGAAGATATATTTCCCATCAGGGTAATGAAACCAACAATATTCACTGAAACAACAACTACAATTTCCTGTATTAACCTGACAGGGAAGAAGGTATTCAGCATCATACAGCCCTGTCATTTCTTTCTCTAGAGGAATAACTTTCTACATGCGTTACCAATAGGCAAGGAAAACTGCTTTACAAAAAGAGGTTTATTTACACTGTTGAGAAATTAAGACAAAAATGAAGTAACACTGTCTGTGTTAAGCAGAAATGCATTTGTAAAACACGCATTTATAAAAAAGTACAAACAAGCCACAATTCACAGGCTTCCTAAAAGCTTAGGATATTAAGGCATTACAAAAGAGATGCCAGTAGTGCTGGCACTCACAAATAAATGTAGGGTTATTAGACTAAGTTTTCAAAGCCTAGATGCTTACAAGGCACATTCTTCCAGCCTTTTAAAACTTGTTCTAAAAAATAACTCTCCAAAATAGCCATTGGGCCCTAATATCCTACAGGCGGAAGTAGGGAGTACAAACCCATAATCTCCCCACTTCATCTGAAATGTAATTAATTAGAGGCCTCAAGCCAATCACAGACAAAACCCCGTTTATATGGAAATTCCCCCTCTAAGAAGAGACAGGTATAAACTTCCTGATTCAGCAGATAAATCAATGCAGAAAACAGCCTACAGACAGATCTCACGTCACCCTCAAATGCTTACTGGGGAGCAGGAGAACATTCAGGCTCCTGAACTTTAGTTCATTTAACATTTTCCCTTAATGAGATGAAAAATATTTGCAACATTTACAAAGTGGATGAACACTCCAAAATTACACCTACAGTGGGTTTGGCTTAATAGGATAGTTTCTCACCCTGTTTATTACTCCTAAATATGCAGTGAAACTGGGCTTTAAAAATACATTTTAGTATTTCTTCCATATTAACTTGGGGAAAGAAATAGTCCCTAAAAAGTACTTATAAATGTCATTAGAAAGTCATGATTTATAAGCTAACACTTTGCAGGAAAAGTAAGCAGAAGTTTGTATCTGTAAAACAGACCTTGTATAGTAACAGGAAGCATACATGGCAGAGGCAAAAATGGGGAGTCTCCGGCCTTTCTCTCAAAGAAAAGAGACAACCTCTGGACCACAGGAAATAACACAAGTTTTAGAAAATCCCAGTGGTATGAGTGAAAACACTTCAAATAGATGTCTAAGTCCTCAAAACAATGTTAAAGGACAACAGATGTTCTCCCTCCCCACTAGCTTGTTCGAAGACTCATGCACTCCCTAGGAGAAGTAATCTATTTGCAGTGATTAAAGTGGGTATTCAGATCCACACTCAGATCCATACAAACAGAAAATTAGAGGAACAGGTGCATAAGGACAGGCTGTGCCTGTCCTCTTCTTGCTGGAAAAAAAAAAACCCTCTCTGAATATGTGAAGCTAATGGAAAAATACAGACCTTTGAATATACCTTTTCTTCAGACTTAATATCTTTATAATGCAAAACAGAGGTTAAAAAAAAAAAAGGCAAGCAAGTCTTAAATTTAGGTTGAAAACTACTTTGGGAATTAATTTTTTCTTTTGCTGTGTTTTTTGTGATACGTGGCTGACATATCGGGGCCTTGGCTGATACGCTGCCAAAATAAAACATAATTATCATTACAACTCCTACCATTATAAGTCAATTTGAAATTAAATCAGCAATTCAGATTCATCTTATGGTCAAGCATTCTTAAGCAGAAGCCTTTCCCCCTAACCATCTCCACTAGGCAGTATTCCCGTTAAATAAAATCGATGACAACAGTATAGGCCCAGATGTGGCCATGAGAAACTAGAATGACACATGGGTATCAAAATTACAAAAGCAAAACCCCAAAGCCTTATTTCACATCAGCAAGCAGCTCAAATGCCAGGCATTAGCCTAAGCATTGATAATTTTATTCACAGTCTCATTAGGTAAAAGACATCAATAAGGCTGGGAGCAAGATCAAAACCCAGCCAAGTCATTAGGCTAAAAATAATTAGCTGTGATTAGGACTATGTTCCTTATTTTTCCACAAGCAATACAGGCTTATCAGAAGTGCTGCATGTTCCATGACGGTCCTTAGCAAAGACTAAGCCAATTGGCTGAGGATCTCTTCTAAGTTTAGGAGCTACAAATTTGAATCTTTAGCTAAACCTGAGTGTAGAACAAGTTTCTTGCACCTTGGACAACTACTGCAAACCATGTGGAAAAACAAGCATGGAGATCCTACCCCCAGCAGCATCTGGAAGGACAGGAGCATTGCCTGCAGACTTCGGTACTTGGGTACTGAGCTCATGTGTCAGCCTCAGGGTTGAGGATGCTCTGACAGAAGCTTTGCACAGCCTGAGCAAGTACCAAAATCCCCTTTAAATTGTGCCTTAACCTTTGCTCATCAGTTCTGTAGCCCACAGAGCCTCTCACAGCACTTTAATCTTTCTCCTAAGCAACACAAGGGTTTTTCTCTTTTGCTGCTCTTCTGCTGTTCTTCTTCCACATACATTCTTGCACCTGGCAAGCCCTGTAACAGGCAGTCTCTCTAGAACCTAGAGATGTTCCCACTGGCACAAGATTCACCTCTTATTTATTCCCTTTTGCCGCTGCCTTGACTGCAGCCTTTGGTTTATATTAGGGGGCCCTGAACACAGTTTACCAACAAACCAGTACACGGCAGCTGCCTCAGATCAAAGCCTTTTCTAATCAGCACCAACTGCATTCACCACAAACAGGAAAAACCTAACAGTGAGTTTGAGCAGGTCAAGGTGAAAACCACACTTACTAATGGAAAGATATTATAGAGGGTTTCACCTGCTGAACTGGATCCAAGTGAATCTAACTATTTGAAGTAAGGTCCAAACTACAGGAGTTTTTCCTTAATATACTGAAGATGACCTGCTTTGCCACTTCTTCTCTGTATGAATGTTAATTCATAACCATGATCACCAATCAGAGCAACTACAATGGGTTGTAGTTTGAACTCGAATTAGTAAACTGACTTGCAAACTACTTTTCTCTCATAACTTCAAATAACAATTAAAAATGTTTTCTTGTGAGAAGTCTAGCATCTGAAGTATTGCACAAACCATAGTCTCAAAGGCTGAACAATTCACAATGAGCTGAACATATTAGTAAAAATCTTATAGCAATATACTTCACTGACTCAAACAATTCTATACTCTCTTTCAGTTTAATTTTCATCAAAACCGAAACTTCTAAAAGCCAGGAAATACACTATCTTAAGACACAGCCCATATGCTCCTCACCCAAGAAACAGCAGGAATTATCTGCAAACACAGGAACTGTCGTCACCATATAAAGGGCCATGTGGTGAAAGCGAAACTAAGTCTGACAGCCGCAAGGGGCTCTTGAGGATCTTCCTGTTAACCTACACAGGAGGTAAACTGGGACTGACTGGCCTCTGCCCCTATTCCTGCCGGTTTGGTCCCATGCCTCCCTAGCCCTCCTATTTCTTTCTCTTCCTTCCTCTGTGGGACTTTCCAGTGTATAACTGTAGCTCACAGTGCTACAGACTTTAATAATTCTGTGCCAGTAACCCATGATCACAGCAATTTTGCAGCAAGTCTCTATCGCTTCTGAGCAAAGAGCACCTACCCATACACATCAGGAAAGTCAGGCCCTCTTGTTAGGATTACCATTTTTAGAAAACCACTTACTAGTACACTAGAAAATATCACTGAGATTAAAGTAAAATACTGGAGTTGAAAAGAGCAAACAGCACTGTGTGTCAAGTCTATAATCTATATTTATAAACTATAGTTAAACACCACTTTCTCCTGCTAAACCTCCAACTGATCCAAACACCGCTTCATACAACTCACATTAAAGATTTTATGAATTACAATTTCAAATGTAGTATGTTGACTAGAATTCATTCATATATACTTGACATATATACATGTAATATAAAAATATGAATATGTGTTTGTATAACATTAAGCAGTAATAACACTCTGTTAATGCCCTGAGAAGAGCTGGGAAACAATTTTTCAGTTATGAGAATGAGGGAAGTAAAGCAATACGTTCTCATTTTAAGTTTGATTTGACCATTGCTACCCTTAAACACACTTAAACCAACTCTGTACAACTATGTATATTTATTGAAAATGACTGACAATTTTCAATCAATAAATTTACTACATTGTGCAATCCTTCCACAAAACTGTTAACTAAATATGAATTTTCAGAGACTGGCACAGAAACTATGTTTAATCATTAGAACCAGTTTCTTGATAAAGGCATTCAAAATAGTTCTGCAGTTGAAAGATTCAACAGAGCAAAACCACAGTACTTAATTAAAAGGGGAAAAAAAAGAGAAAAAGGAGTAAAAATAAAAGGACATTTGAAAGCAAATTTCATCCTTCAACTAACCCAAGAAATAATGAGAAAAAAAACAAAAGGGAAAGCAAACAACTATCTATCTGTATACTGACTGTTCATCCAGTCTCAACATGAACTGGATGTCAGAGACATTCAAAAACTTTTTAACAGAATGAAAATAACAAATGCTAACAATTCAGACTATATCACTGTCTTAAATTAAAAACCAGCCAGAAATCCCAGTTTTTCAACTGAAATTTATGGTTATAATATACCAGAACCACCACAGGATTACTTAGAGACAGGTATATCAGCAATTACGATATGTAAAGCAAAGTGAACAAACATAGAGAGATAAAATTTAATTGTAAAAAATGTTATCAATAAAGTATGAAAGGGCAGAACACAAAGCCAGCTTTAATTTTTGTAAAATATATCAGACAGCTGAAAGGAAGTGAGTATTTTTGTAAATGTACAGGCCTGGGATAATATACTACTGAAATAACTGATCACTGCTATGAGATTGCACAGGGAAGGCTGAAGGCGAAGAAGGTTCAGAGATTGACTTGAAGTAAAAAATCCACAGTTTTAGACTATGTAATTTACATATTTACAAAATCACCTAAGCTTGAAATTCAACTCATCATTTGTGCCTAGATTTTTCCATGCAAATTCTGAGTACATATTACTTAAATATCCTTAATGTAAATCTATACCAACTTTTATGCTGTATCACTTCAATAATAAAAAACAATTCATCCAAAATCCTGAATAAGTATTTGGAATACAGGGAAAACCTTGGTTCCACAGAGGTCAACAGCAGAACTCCCTAGTATGGTTAAATTCACAGTATGGTATGGTTAACATGTATGTTTAAGATACTTGACTGCGTAAATGAAAAAGCCTAAATGTCAACTCAAACATCTAATTGTAAATGGAAACTCATTCCCTGAAGGCATAATCTTTCACTTCCACACATTAACACAAAAATAAAGATCAAAGGCAATGAAAAAACAAACCAGAAGGCCGTGCAGTTTGAAGACCAAATATTTCTTTACTTCAAAAATATATCTTTATATTCAAATTCCAAGTTGCTGCACTGTAGTAGGAATATGCAATCACAAATTTAATTTATCTTGATCATTTGCTTTCCCTGCCAAACTGAGCTCAGGCAAAACATCTGGTTTTCAGTGAAGACCTCGGTTACCTGGTCTTCTGTCTGGGTTCATTATAATGCAAAACAGTCAAGAAATAAGCCTCAGGGTCATGTAATCCATTCTTCACTAAACCATGAATTGCCTCATGATCGAACTTGATCTGATAATGAATAAATCTGATCACCATTCACCACAAGAACTCTTCAGAGTATATGTGGAATTTTTAAAATTTTCTTATAAAGTGAACACACAAAAAGTACAGCAGTTGCACAACTGACTTTTCTTCTTAAAATCTTGCAGAACTTAAGGTCAGTTTGATAGTTAACTATGTAAAAGCTGAACCAAAATTGAAAGAAATTAAGAGTACTGAAAATTTAAGTTTTTAAGCAGGATTAACCCTTTGGCATACCTCTCATCATTCTCCTTGAGTGGAGAGGCTGGTTTTCATTCATAAAATAGCATACGTGAAAAATGCTTGATGATGTTACAATTCAGCAGTTAAATACTGTCTATCATTGTTTGCACACTTCAATCCCTTTGGACATGGACAAGCAATGATTCAAAAACCAGTAAATATCACAATCTTAATTTAATCTCTGGTAAATTAACTCCTAAAGAAGTTCTTAAAACTAAGGTATGGCCTCCCCATTATTAGGTAGCAGGACTCTTCTGCATTGGTTGCAACAAAGATGGCTTTTTTTGCAAGTTTCTGTGGTAAATACTTCAAGCAGGAGGTACTGGCAGTCTTCTTACTATTTCCATAGCTATCTTTAGATAGGCTTTAGCCTGTAAAAACAGAAACATACATTTAGCACCTTTCATTTCTATAAAAAGGAACATTTTACATCTCGTTAGTTATCTGTTCTTTCACACACCTTCAAAGAAAACCAAAGATATTTAAATAAATGGGTCCAATTTAGTCTGTTTTCCGGAAAAATGATGCATTAATACATAAAATAAGTACAAGCATTATTTAAAATACTGAGGGAGAGGGAGTTTTTAAAATTTAACTCAGTTATTATTCTAAGAATAGAACCTGACTCAACAATTTGTCTTTAATAGCAAACAAAGTCAACAGTCTCCTGGAAGTGTTGAGGAGGAATAAGACTCTTTAGTCCCACAGGTACTATTAATTATAAACTTCCCTAACCATGGCAACCAACATGCACCATGCATAGGACAGAGAATCAGAGAAAACAAAAACATTCAAAAAAATTTTTTTTGAGACAATTAATTAATTACAGACTAGACTGCACTACAGAATTTCCTATTCAGACTTTTAAAATTAAAGTATTTTCAAAAAAAGAAATCTGTTCCAAAGACTGAAGTGGGGTTTGGGAGCAGAGGAAGGACTCCTCTCTGAGCAGCAGCAGAAACAGCAACTGACCATAACCCCCATTCCCCCGTCCCCCTGCACCACGGGGGGGAGGAGGGAGAACATGGAAGGAGGGGTGGGGGGAAGGTGTTTTTTAAGACTGTTTTATTTCTCGCTCTTTGGCTCTTATCCTGTTAGTAATATTTAGGTACTATCCTGACTTTGAGTCTGTTTTGCCCATGAAGAAGGTAATCAGTCACTGACCTCTCCCAGCTCTTAACTCACGAATCCTTTGCTGTTTTTTTCTCTCTCCTCTGTCCAGTTGCAGAGGGAGAGTCAGAGAGTGGCTTTAGTGGGTACCTGGCACTTGGCCAGGGTCAACCCACTACACCAACCTACTTCTCCATCCTCTCAAGTAAGTCTGAATATGGTTCCCATATTGACAACCTTCCCTGTTTTACTAGAAGAAATTCCTACAGTAACCCCAAATGCACTGATCCTTCCTGCCTCCTGCAGCATTCTCAGACAGCTCTAACCATGAATTAGACCTTGTATCCTTGATGAGCCTTTAAAATAGATAACGAACTGACACATGCCAGAGGTCAGAGCTTGAGGGGAAGGGAGGGAAGGTCACTGGTCTGAACCAGGTGTCAACCTTTTGCAGGGACATGCACTATTCACATCTCCTCTTTTCTAGGGATTGCTCCTAGCATGTAGGGTTTTCTTTTCTGGCACTGCCAGCCCCAGCACCTCAGAGTCTCAGTGCTCACATCACCTTAAAACTAAAGCAGTGTAATTTTCTGAGTTTGCAAGGAAGGCAGACACCAAGGTAGAATTGTTTTCTCCCATATGCATGACTTTGTGGCAAGAATTATAGAATGAACTATAGAACTTAATTCACAACCATGAAATTAAAACACCTACGCCTACAACTGCAGTGCAGTTGGGTAACACAGCTTGTATGCAACACCCACCTCACTCAGATACTAATTCCCTGGGTGGTCCAGCTACTCCCCAACTAACCACTCTCCTAGATAAGATAATGGACTAACTTGAAATAATGTGACTGACTGAAGTCAAGCTGCCTTTGCAGTTAAATGTTTGACTAATTGGTCTAGGAGCACTCCAGGTGGGAATTTTGAACTCTTGAATAGTCCCGCAGGCAGCTCCCACTTTGCACAAATCAATTCATGCATCTTAATGAGTCAATTAACAACCTGCATAGAAAATCTGGCCCCTTCTAGAGACTGCCCAGGCTATTTTTCTGCTCCAGAGTTGACCAAACTGTACACAGAATTATAAATCCACCACAAACAGACTTGACTGCTTGTATAAATGTTGCCCTATGTCAAGATCCCAATAAACTTAAGATTTTTCTCCCCAAAAATACTGTTAGTGAGTGTCTGAATAACAATTTCCCAGTGTACACTGACTCTTATTTGCCAAGCAGCGATCTGCCACTTTGCAACAGGAGGTTCCTGGTACAACTCCTTGTAGCCAGCATGCCAGTGTTACCTAGCCCTACAGTTATCAACAATTGGTCTTACCTGCTAAATATTTATTAGCTATTTATTAGCTCATCTAATTAAGCCCTACAGTAATCTTAGAGAAATATGAGACTTTCAGTTATGAAATTTCATTCTCCCTAAAAATCTTATCCGTGAGGGAAGTATGCATCACTGCTAAGATTACTGCAAGCAGACTGCACAGGTCACAGCTGAGACTGCCCTGTTCTCATGGATTGGATTGGATTGATTTGGCTTGACCAGCAGGTTTGCCTTCCACTGAAGTGCAGCTCTTAGCCTGAAACCATCTCACTTTAGTGGCTTCCAGTATCTGGTGCAATGGCCACACAAATACAAAACCCAATTTACAATCAACAAAGTCAAAACACATAGGACCTGATATGACATTTGCCTTCACTCAAACCACTTCAGACCAGCAACTGAGAAAAAGCATACTGATACATCACACAGTTGCAGGCCTGGTACACCAAAGAGTATAAATCCAAGTACCAATATGGTTTCTAACTTCTACTGCAAGACTCCAAGATCATTAAGATGCTTTATCCAGCCATCCAAAGGAGAATCTATGCAAGTCCTCACTGTCTGGAATATCAAATGCTGTGGATGCTACTATACCTGTAGAGAAGGAAAATGAACTTAAACGTGTTCAACTGAGCTTTTAGGGCTTATACTTTGCTCATTGCTAAAGGAAGCTAGCAACCATGAGCAACTAATTAAATAGTGACTATCACATACTAGACTTAGCTGCCATCTACATGAAAATAACAGTTGGTAGCTTTTGTTCTTATTAGCAGTCTCTGCTCAACCACAGTCCATTTTCCAGTTCAATCAGATTTTTAAACAACTTTAATTTCCATGGAAATTGCTTGCTACTTTGACACAACTCCAGCCTTCAGTGCATAACTGGAGCTGCCCTCTAATGTCTGTATTTTACTGTGGTCAACTCAGAAGGCGCTAAAAGCGTGATGATAAACACAGCTTTAAATAAGCTGCCACTTCAGATAAAAGCTTCATGTCACCCAGATAAATTCTTGATTGCTGCAAGAGGTCCAGAGCCTTTCCCCACTCTCTCCTCCTCTGGGCAGTTCTACCATAAGATTCTTTTTTGCATGTACATTGCAGCTTGGCAGGAGTTGCCAGAAGTCTCAGCTCAGAGAAGAGACTTAATGAGACAATAAAAGTCAATCCACACATTATAACATGAAATTAAAGAGGTGGGTAAGTAAGCTGCATTTATGAAACTAAAATCTTAAAGAAAAACCCCTAGTGCTCATGGGAAATTTCCTGTTAATCCTACATAATAGCAGTTGCAACAACCAAGCCACTCTCTGAGGGAGCCTCAGCTGGGTAACACTGATATCCCAAGGTGCCATTATGCATATACATCACTCAGATACCTTTACAGACATCTAAAAAGACATCTTGTCCAGAAAACATGGTTAAGTAGAACAGTGCAAATCAAATGCAGCACAGTAACAGCCTTCAAACAGACTAACCTACCACTCAGAATTTCCTTCAGCAGAGAGAACCATAAATGAAGTTCTGATAGTGTACTACCTACACCCCGAATGAAGGAATTGAACCTACACATACCAAATGTTACTGTGATCATTCAAAGGAAGCCTTGATAATAAGGTATATTATAAATCATATCATGCAGCCTTCTTTGGGTTTTGATTTTCTTTAAAGATATTACACAATAGATTGACCACTCATTAAATGGAATTATTGATGACAGCTAAACACCACCAAATATGATTCTATGATTATTTGCTACCAGTACTTCAATTTTTCTCCAACTATTTCTTGCGAGTTTTAAAAGGCTGTACATTTTTACCCTACTTACACATCACCCTTTCACAGAGTTCTACAGGAAAAGTGTTTCTGAATACAAATTTCAGCCATCTCTTTGGATGACACCACAGTAAGGCTTATAACATTCTGCTCTAATTGAAAAGGGATTTTTAACCAGACTTATTTTGCTCTGTTATGTCAAACTGCAGATGCCTTGTGTCCCTGCTTTCCATCTGACTGGGCTTTTCCTCTCCTCTTATAGATAGTGTGCAATTTTTCGGACTAAAAATCCTTCACCATTATATATGAATACACAAAAGCTGCAAGAGTGCTGAATATATTCCACATAGTTAAATGTGTGCTAGATAGTAACAGAACTTCCCTCAAGAAGTATGTGGGGTCTGTATTATACACTGGTCTTTATCACAAACTGGATATGATGACATTAAGCATGTTTTTCAGCCACAGGTCCTGGTTTCCTTGCTCCAGGACAAGGTTAGCTGTTCTATCCAAGTCATAAATTCCTCACCACACTGCGTATAAGTTCGTGCACACATGCAAAAGGCTGTGCAATATGGGGATTCCAACACTCTACCTATATATAATTCACTGGTTTTGCTTCTTTTCACCTTTCCTTGCTTTCCCAGTATACTCTACCTGATTTTTATGGAACACAAGGGTGAACTCAGTATTTTTCCTTAATACATTCCAAATGCTTTCCATAACAACATGTGGCAAGAAAACACTAAGGAACTAACTGACCATGATGAGTTTCCTGGAATTTGATTTTTTTTCCCCCCAAAAGCAGTCATCTTCTCTATATTTTGTCATGAAGTGTCACCATCTCTTCAACAACGAAGAAGGGCGAAAAGGTGACATCTAAACTTCATTCTTTCATGACTTCTTTGCTGTCTTGAATATATTATCCCTGATGAACCTTAGAGGTGTATCACCTCTCCTCCACAATATTTTTTTAAACATCTCATTCCCAAGACAAGAAGATGAGAGACAACATCTACTACTGGCTTCAGCCTCCAGCATGTCTCTTCCCTGAAATGTCTATCCCAACTTTTAGGATGTGAATGAACACACTGGTACAGCAAATGTATTTCGTACTTGTTTGAGCTGCTTCTTCAGCCTTAAGACAGGTGGGAGTCTGGTGCTCAACAGTCAAAGACAGCCTGTCTGTTCTACCAAGGTATTAATAATAAATCCACTGTGCCATGAAGGCTGTGGTACACTCAAAAGCTTCTAGCAGGAATTCTGCACAAGATAACCACCACACTCTGGGTTTTGCACTCACAAATGGAAGAGATCTTAGCAACCCCTATCTCTTCTCCCAGTGTTGATGGAGAATTCACTGGGCATTTAAACAACTCATTTGGTGGAACAATGACTGCATTGCAATTAATCATGTTCTGTATGTCTTATCTGCAAGCTTCAGGATGCCTCTTCCAAACACCTGTTTTGCTGCTGGCCCCTTCCCATGGTCCATAAGAGGTTTCTCTACATCTGAGCATAATCAATTTCACCTGGTTTCAGTGACTCCTCATTTGTTTTCCCTAACTCTACCTTTTACCCTACTTTTTTTCCCCCATTCTTCCATTTTAGTACCATTCATGATTTTCCTTTACTAGCTTTTGCTGTTTAGGGACTCTTTTGTATGTTTGAGTGAGCGAAAAAATGAAGCTTTAGGCAGCCAATCCACCTTCACAGCCTGATAGAGGAGAGAAATGCTCGACTAATCTCCAGAAGGGTCTGTTAAGTCCTCACTGTTGATTAAACTAAGAAATTATTAGCTTTTTGTAGAGGACCTCTGGTCACTCTCAACTGCTGCGTTAGGCTGACGTGCGAGTACAGCCATATTCAATTTTCTACAGCACATAACAAAGTTTTGTCAATGAAGAGTGCTAAGAAAAAGCCACAATTTAAACAACTAAGCTGACAGAAACACTAGCATAGGTAATGTTATACCAAGAGCAAAATCATTTTACCAGCACTGTTTATTTCTCCCTGAGGACTGCCTCAAGCTTCACCAGAAGAGAACTCCAGCCATTAAACCTTCATATCCTTTAGCTATATTGTCAGCCCTTTCCATAAGTAGATTATTCTTGTGTATTCTGTGCCTTCCCTGAGGAACGACTTTCTAAGTTCAAACATGCACAGTTCTACAAGTAATTTTCTTTTTTAGTTGTTAGCAATTTCTTGGTCATTTGTAAACCCTCTTTTCCACTAACTACATTTAAGCTTTAAAATAATGAATTTACACAACTTTGCTTACACATTTTGAAATTCTAGTGTAGAGTCAGAGCTATACTTTCATATATCTGCAAGGCAAGTTGAACCCCACAGCAGACATGTAAGCAAAAAAAGTATTAACTGGCATATTTTAGAAACACCCTTTATTCTAGGCTTGACAGAGCTTAGAAGGTGTGACAGTATGCTGGGTTTCTAATAAGTAAATCACCATCCTTATTCCCTACTGTTTCAATCTGCTGAGTATTATTTCAGGTCTATGATTCTGTATTTGATTTGTGTGTTCTAACAAAATCAGCTCAGAATTTTGCATAAAAATCCCCTGCACATTTAAGAGACAAGAGCAGGGATAATTTCAGCAGATATTGTTCTCTATCTGAAAACTTGTGATTGTTCATGCATGAATAGCCACAATTTCAGTTTACTTGAGAAACATGATGATGAGTGTCATGTATTAAAGATCAGAATCTGACCTTATATGACCTCTTCCACCATCAGATATGTACTAAGAATTTAATTTTTCTTCTTTTCTTTTAAAATATAAGAGAACAACAATATTTTTTCTGTCTTTAAAATGAGAAGCAAACCAAGGATAAAGGGAAATTCTTTTTTATTCTGTAGAGATTAGTGACATTTAAGAAAACCTCATTCTCTGAGAAGAATGATTATCTCACAGATGCAATGGCAGAGAAGGATATTAAAGAGTTTTCCCCAGAGTCACACATATTTGTAAATCTTTATTCCTCTTCATATTTAACTTAATTGCCACAAATGGTGATTATAACCCATCCTTTTGTTATCAAGAATATAGTTCAAGGACAAACAGATGGCAACACAGACTTTGTGTTTTTTTATTTTCAGAATGCTATTCTCCATGTCTGAATTTTCAGATCAATAGTCCAGCAAGCTACAGACCCTTGGTTATTACAGATTTCTGATACTGAGAGCTGTGAGCCTTCCATCTTAGTTTGCTCAGCTGTTTTATTTCAACTTTGACCAAAGCCATGCATCCTTCAAACCTTCACACTGTTGATCAAACCTTCCAGAGAGAAACTACCACATGGATTATAAGGATTCCTTTTCACAAGGACCTGAACTCAAGATCACTACATTACTCCACAGCATGGGCCTTGCCCAAGTCTAGCAAAAATATTGCATTCAATTAGAAATCAACTTGCAATAGCGCTACTGCTTCTCTCTCAAAACAAAATGATGTGTTACAATTTTAAGACTGTCACTGTTCCTCCAGAATCCCGATCAGTGTTATTAAACACTGGATTGACAATGTTAATCCTGTCCTCCCTTTTTATTTAATCTTCTAAAACACTGGGAAAGAAAAAAGTATTTCAGCACGTGCCTAACAATCATGATATTAAAAAACGAATGTACCATCGGTACAGTCTACCTTATCTTGAATTAATTCTACCATCTATTATCAGTATTAATCACTTTTTTTCACTATAACATCTAAGCAGCAGTCAAAAGTGAGGCTGCATCATGCCATATACTATGCACAGCACCCTGTCCCACAGAGCCTGGCAGACAAACTCCAGCAGAGGAGAAAGAAAACACCAGACAGGAAAATGTTACTCTATCAGTATTAATGAAGTTCTGTATGTACAACTGCTTTTCTTTACAGACTTGTGTAATTGACTCTCACCACCTCACCAATTCCTACTTTCCACAGGCAAGAAAATATTATGGTGAACGCACAGAAAAATCCATTTCCTTCTGTGTGTAAATTGCTCCACTTCCTGCTGAAAACAACTCAGGTACTGACAATGCGCAGGTTTTGTTCCAAACATCTTTGGATAGGACCCTTTGACAGTTTCCAGGCTCAGCTACCAAAGGCTCAACTGACAGTTTTAGAGGACCTACATTAGCTGCAAGGTCTCATGAGGCTTGACACTGACCTTCCTCCTCTTGGCATGCCAGGACCTGGATCAAATCTTCATTATACCGAATGATTCAGCCTAATTAAACAAAACCAAACCCACAGAAGCAGAACGGATGACCAGCATTCCAAAATCAAGGGCTTGAGTTACTTCATGATACTACCTTCTTTTATCTTATTTCCTTAAGTTCCATTCAGATACACATTTTTTGAACAGCAATACCAAGAAGCCCTCTCCACTCATTTTCGGAGGGGGGCTTTTTGTTGCTTTAAGTGAAATGCACCGAACTTACAGCATCGCTTTGAGGTTGAGCAATCACAACAGGCTGTCCTGAATCACACGACTCCCGGATATTAACATGCAGTGGAATGTCTCCTGCATCAAAAATACCAAGATACACATATGTGAAGATCTAATACTTCTCAAATGTTTCTTCAGAATAGCCCTGAAGTAACTTGGTATCAAATTTCAGTTCAGTATATTCTTTGAATTACTTAATCTCCAAGAATTAGCATTTAAAATGAATACTGGCTGCAGTACAGTTTCCTTACATCCATAATAAATAATGCCAAACTATTTTGGACTTCTCATGCTCTGAATAGGAAGGATCATGCATTGTCATTTATTAGAGAAGGCAGGGCTTTTTGCCTCAAACACACAGAAAAACACAGGCTGAGATACAAATTATTTTGCATACATTAAATGAATTGCCTGAGTTTTGGGAAAATGCTCATCATGCAACTTACTCTTTAGCCTATCTCCTCATTGTATATTCTTTTCTGTGCTGTTTTAAGATTTTAATCACTGTTCAAAGACTTCTTTGAATACTAAATTTCCAAATAATAGCATTTGTTATTGCCCTTATTAGGCCTTGGATTCAATTCAAAGGTGGACAGCTATTCAGCTCATTCTTCTTTCCAACAGAAATCTTCTTTATATTCTGCTTTTATAATGAGCAGGGAACTGTCAGAGAGGAAAGGAACATTCTAAAGAAGAATCAATTAGCAGCTCTTTTCCATTCTGAAACATACTTTCCAAAATACAGATTTCAGCACTACAAAAAACTTAGAGGTTCCTATGTTTAGTTCATTGCTACATAAAAAATTATAAAGTGAATTGAAGAGCAAATTTCTTTCAATGGAAGACACAGCTACATTTTACATCATGGATGGATGCAGATAGAACAGCCTACCTGAGTTCAACCCTGACTGATATCAGAAACTGTATCAGTTTAATTTGTACATTTTAGCAACATTTATTTAACTCAAACCAAGCTAGTGTAAATTATTGAGGTTCAGTGTATGCAGAAAAAGAAACATTAAAAAAACTATATGAAAATTGACAAAGTTTAAGAGAGAAAAAAACAGAATGCAAAGGAAGCAGGAATAAAAACAAAACACAGTTATGGCCACTAAACTTCAGAAAAAAAAATTTCAGAGAAAGAGAGAGAAAAATCAGCAGCACAAAACTCTTTCTCACAAACCTTATCACACTTTCCTTTAGGGAACAGTAAAAAGACAAGACAATCAGAAGTATATGAAATAATAAACTACACCTGAAAGTGTTCTGGCAACTGTTAATTGTCTTCTGTCACAAACAAAAATAAATGAAGTATTAGGTAAAATTAATAGCAGCTGACTCTGAGCAAGTAGAAGGAAAATACTTTTCAATCCTGCACATTGTTACCTTGTGGAATTTGTCAGATGTTACCTTGTCAGGTTTCAAAGGAGCACTAGATTCTTATTTAAACAAACAGAATAGCCATGTTGCAAAATATAAGCAAAATAAATTTAGAAATAGTAATTTTAAATATATATATATATTATAGATACATATGTAAAAATAAGTTCTCAAGGCTTTGGGGCAGAATTCAAATAACATTGAAATAGAACTTCCATTTGGGATAGATTAATGTAAAATCTGTAAGCAGTAATTCTTACAATACCATATGGTATTATTATATAATGGTCATCCCTGGAAGGAGGAGTGCACTAATCAGATCAAGCACTGTGATTCTAAATTTAACCCTTGAGGCATTATTCTTAATCTTAGTGTGGTCTTTCACTGACAGTTTGAAGTTAAACTTCACTCTCATTTTCTTCATATATCTCATCTATTCCCTGCTAAATCTGTACATCTCTCACATCACTCCTAATTAAATACAATCACAATCAGTTCTTCCCTCATAGGAAATAACACAAACCACCTATGGGACCAATGGCACGGTACATCATTTGTGCCTGTGTATCTAAATGCATGTTTGATTCAACTGCTTGCAGAGCATTTGCATCCATCCACATAACCAGGACTGTAGAAGCCCCCTTGGGCCCCGATCACAACTCATTATATATTCAGAAAACTAAAAGATAGCCCAAAAGCATGTCTTTAATTATGTGTTGCCTTGCTATCTTATGTCTATGTCAGACCTTGATGTTTCTATGTTGATCTTTCTAAGTGAGCTTCCTGGTTCCTTTTAATGAATTAGCTATGGAAAATCATTGAGATAATTACAGTAATACATGGAAACACATCATTAGTGCATGTAATTATCCCATTTACCAACTTAATTATGTTGCATTATATTCTTTACTTACAGCATAGGTTGAACCATGCCTTTTTAAAATAGCGATGTATATTTTCAAGATTCACGTATATTTTAGCTTATAAGTATGCATTTAATTGTGGCTAATCACAGAATCATGGAATGGTTTAAACTGGAAGGGACCTTAAAGATCTCCTAGTTCCAAACCCCCTGCCATGGACAGGGACACCTTCCACTAGACCAGGTTGCTCAGAGTCCCATCCAACCTGGCCTTGAACACTTCCAGGGATGGAGCATCCACAATGTCTCTGGGCAACATGTGCCAGTGCCTCGCCACCTTCACAGTAAAGAATTTCTTCCTAATATCTAACCTAAATCCACCCTCCTTCAGTTTAAAGTAATTCCCCCTTGCCCTATCATTGCCTGCCCTTGCAAAAAGTCTCTAGCTTTCCTATAAGCCCCTTTAGGATGCTATAAGGTCTCCACCAAGTCAATATGTAACAACTCATTTCATTTAAATGAAATAAATGAGAAAACATTTATTGACATTACTGGACAGAGTTTAGGTCTGTCCTAAGACCAAAGAGAATTCTTGGTTATTAGTAAAAATTGCTGTATAATCAATTTCAGGTAATACAGCACACTGATATCAAAACAATTCACGTTCTGGATTGCTGGTAAATACAAAGAGATTTAAGATACTATTCAAGAATTTTCATAATCAGTCAGCATTGCCATTACAAGAATGACATGGAACATAGCATACTAGTTATTAGTTCTATTATATCTGAACACTGTCTGAATACAGAGTTATCTAGGATTATGCAGTTCTATATTTCAGTTCATGCTTCACACACACCATTCAATTTTTCTTGAAAAATAAAAACATTTCTATATTCTTACCCAAAATATCCAACCCAAGGGTTTTTGCTAGATCTCTTACACCGTCAGCTCCAAAGATATGTGTCTCATGCTTACATTTAGGACACTGGAAAACACTCATATTCTGAACCAGTCCTAAAACCTGTTAAAGTAAAGGAAAGGATGTTCAAACCTGGCATTCAAGCACCGGTATTTCCATTATTCATCTCTGACAATAAAGAATAGATTATCAACTATAAATTCACACAGAGTACTCATTTAAAACAGGAATCAGACTCATTATCAGCACTTATTAGTCATCTCAGTTGCACCATCATTTGTGTATTATTTCAATTTTATCACATTTATACCTCTCAAAGACTAACAGATTTATTTGTAACGAAAAGTACCTCTTGCACAGGCCTATCTTGCCAAGAACTCTCCCTGCCAGTATTTCATTTTCAAACTCTGAATACTGGAAGAATTTCCATGCTGTGTTTTACAGTTTTGCATATTGCAGCTTCAGGAAACACAAAATAAAAACACACCATTACGAGGAATTACACAATCAGATATGCTTTTAAGGTATTTTTATAAATTATCCTGTAGGGAAATGTTTTCCAAAAGAACCAGATTTGCTATTCTTCTGAAGAGCAGAAACATGTTTTAAAGATCAAACATAAGAAACAGTTATGTGAAACTAAGTGGCAAAAACCACAGCATAACAATTAATACACACATCCTGGACACCTTTCTGTTGAAGCCAGGTGTTCAACATTATCCTTACAAAATATGCCAAATGAAAATTTGTGAAATCATTCACACAAAAAAATATTCTTTCACAATATACAATAATGCTAATGACAGCACTGATCTCATTTTGTCCACCTAGTGAACAAAACTCTTCACTAAGGCAGAGGAGAATTTCCAGAAGTGATAAAACAGCATTCAAATGCTACAGGGTGAAAGTTCCTACCCATCTGTTAATTAACACAAGACCTGCTTTAAAAGGTTACATGTTGCAATACTTCATTTTCAGATTTATATGCTATCTAGATATGTCACACAAACTATGGCCAAGTTTTAAAAATATGAATATATATTTTATATTGTTATTTACTTTGTAGCACTTTGTACTTCTACATTTCCCTGAGCCTTCTAGTTTTGTGCTTGAACAAGCTGGCCTAGTTATTAGAGAAGAAACATAAACACTACACTAATGAAGCATATCTAAAAGGATGCACCAGTGTTCAATGCAACCAACAAATATAGTTATTTAATTAAAAGTGAATGTACAGCTCCTGGCACCAAACTTAAAAATAAAAAAGCATGTTATTTACAATATCCTAATAAAAATTTCCTTATCTATAAGCTAAAATTATCAAAAGATGGTCACCTGTTTTTTCTATAGCACCATGAGGTGTATTTTCTTACTTATATAAAACTCTCAGAGGGTTTTAAGCAAGGAACACTTTAAGAAATAATAAAAACATTTAAAAAAATTACCCATTTTCAATTTAATACCACAAACTGACTTTCCCCACTTTCTACTCTCTCCCAGAGACTGCAAGAGGAGCAAGAGGAACAAGTTTCTATTTACTGGCACATTGCTGTAGGTAATTTTCTCATCCAGTTCTTAAACTAGGAGAGACACGACATACTACGTGTCCAAGGGATCTCTTCGGCCACAGCCTTCTATGGATGACCATTGAGCAGGCATTCATCCTGCTCTCCTTAAAGTTGAGTCATGGAATTTTCACTGTGTTGGTAAACTGAAGGACACAGGAAGGAGTGTGATTTGGCAAAAGAAAAATATTATTTTCACCAGGATACAGGGAAGCCATTTTTGACAGCATAGGAGAAAAAAAAAAAAAGATAATTTGAAATGTACACTTTAATTAATTCATTTTCAGGTATCTTGGATTTTCAACTTTCTGTTCTCTTCAAAGTAGTCACATGACATTTATAATTCAGCAAATTTACAATCAAAGAAAAAGTTTTGTAGTCTACTATTGTTTTGTGAATAGTTAAGGACTATTACAACCATGCTGTTAATTCTTTGATAACCTAATAACTAAGAAGTCCTTCTGCCACAGTTAATGCAAATGCTGAAATACAGCTGTATCTCCAATGCTGTATCAGTTTTAGAGGCCTTATTTACTGTGTCCTTTTTCTTTCCATTTCAACAGACCTTACTAAAAGCAAATAATGTTCTAGCATTACACAATAATCTTTTAGTGTTGGTCTTCTTTGTCAACCAATGAGTATTGCATATTTATTAATACATAAATTATTCTTCCAGAGTATGAAGATTTTTTTTTTAATATTAAGATGCAACTTAAAAATACTAACTTTAATACAAAATTTGTGCAAACACACAACTTTCCTACTGAAGTATTTTTACCATGCATATTTTTGCACACATATTTAAAGAAGGAAAAGAGTTCACTACGATCTTCAGAGTTTTTAAATCTACAAAGTAATGTGTCTTGCTAATGAAGTCAGTAATAACTCTCATTTCCCTGCTCAAATAATAGACTTTTAACAGATTCAAAGCAGCTGTTACACAAACTATCCCGTAAGCATGTGAGAATACTATTCCAGTCCTTAGTGAGCTCCTTTTCCTGTACATTTCTTGGTAAACTTGGCTCAGTAATGACATGAAAACTAGTATTTACTATATGAATCATAATGCAGGAGCTAATCTACTGCAGCAGAGGAGAGTATGGTTATAATGCATGGAACTGAATTTCATTTAGTCAAATCATTACTTTAAATGGTGAAGAGACATCTATCAAGAAATAACATGAAATGAAGAAACCTTTCATTATGAGTTACCTGCACACGGTTTCTGAATGTTTACATATTTCTTGTGCTTAACTAACCTTTTGGTTACACAATAAACCATGCCTAAATCCAAATATACTACCTTCTAAGTTAGAGAAAACACAGTAAGAAAATGAAAGCTCTCAGTATTTACACCAGGAGACAATAAACCCATTTAAGTCATTCACTGTACTCAAGGATGGATGGTGCTGAGGTCTGACTTCAATCTGATGGGTTACGGTTCCTCAGTCTGCCATCAACTTCCTACGTAACCATGAGTCAGTCACTTCACACTGTAGTGCTTCAAGTAAACATGCACAATACTTCTGTCTTCCTACCTTTCATCTTATAATGAGCAATTTTTGGCTCTAACATCTGCTCCCAGTATGAAGCCATAATCTTGGCTGGCTACTCTGGATACTACAGATATACCAGAAAGAACATAGCCAAACAAGCAATTTTAGTATAACTTAGAAGGAAATACATAGCTGAGTTTATCTAAGCAGTTTTTCGAAACCTAAAAAATCCACAACATAACCTTCCAAAAAAGTTGCAGATTTAACTAAAACCCTGTCTTTTTCTTTCAGGGATATGATTGATGAGATAAACCATACTGAACTGAACTCAACTTCAGCAGGTGAAAATAGGCAATTTTTTTCCTAAATACTCAAAGTTACTCACTCTGAGTCACCCTCTGGAATGCAAGAAAACGTTGACCAAACTCACATAATGAGCAAGAATCTTAAAAACTTGTTCTGATAGGAGTCAGCACCACTTAGCAAAACCCCTTCTGTACTGGAAGTGTAGGTGTGCTCCACTGCACAAGAGATGACATTCCTCTTTTAACGACCATGTCCTAGGACTGAAAATTTTGCGCTGATTTAAAATCCTGTTTTTAACGCTCTCATTGCCAGCTTTTCATCAGTTCCTTCAGTTATTCTACTTTAATTTTGATATTGTAAAGGACAAACAAAGAACATTAACAATTGTGACTTTACTGTGGTAACGCTACATGTGTCATCTGAGTCTTTGATAACTCATGACAGTAGGTATGAGAGGCAGGTGGTATATGCAGACCTATATGTACACGGGAGAGACTGCAGTTCATTAAATATAAAAAAGCATAATTCTGCAACCTATGTACTCTCTGCTTCTTTGAAAAATAAAATCTTTGCAAGCACTTCTTTAAAGATTAAAGATTTTAGAGATTAGAATTTTAAAGATCAGTCAATTATATAATCAGGATACATAATTTTAGCACAGTCCCACAGATTCCACCCCTTTGACGTAAACCTTAGGTTTGACGTTTTCCATCAAAAATTATGTAACTACATTTTCTTTAGATCCTCAGATTTAGCTGACACTTAGAAATGGAATACATAGGTAGGAGTTGCTTTAAAACAGAAGTAAATGATGCACCTGTACTCACGTACATTCAAAGGCAGAATAAAATGAAGCAGCATCATGAAAAAGCCAAGACCTCATGACTGGTTCAAGCCCATTCACATCTGACATAACAACTTTACTGGTACTTTCATTTGATTTAACAAGATCCGAAAATTCCAACGAACCAAAATAGATGATACTTAATATCTTATCTACAACTAGCCAAATTAATGTTAGTTAAGCCTATCCTAGAATGCATGACTTCCTTAGAGGCCATTCTCTTCAAAAACATTGAACAAAACAGTCTTAGAAAGCAATCTTGGTAATTGCTCATTAAAACAAAAGCAAACTTCAGCAGAGTGCTGACTTGAACACAATGTAAATTGAAGAAAATTATTTTACATAATTTTAGCAAACCCAAACAAAGAATCAAAACAAAACATTCCATATGTTATTCTTCTTTTTTTCCTTCCAGCAGCAAGTTATAAACGCTACTATATTTTTATTTTTATGCAAATATGTTTAAGGAATAGTTAATAATAGTGAATTTATCAAAGTATTTCTTTTGTTACCCTATTCTGTAAATTAAAAAAAAAGGAAAGCAGTCACTTCAACTTTCTGTTGCATTTTTTAAATTAACAAAGCACTAGCTATGAAAGAAATCTCCTTTCTTAATAAAGAGCAAAAGTAACCTTCACACAGGTAAGAAAGAAATCATCTTTTTTTCTTTACAGTTTATGATAACGAAGCATTTCAGTTTTTATTTTTTCATGAATGCCCATTTCAAAGGAAAAATTAATCTCTACATAAACATACTCTGAAGTATAACATTCAGTGACTTAGATACTTGTAGCACACATAGAAGATATCTAGTCAAAGATGTCAGCCTGTTTAATATTTTCTCCTAATTGTGGATATTCTTAAATTTTGTATTTCCCAAATAAGCAAGCCAAGATATAAGCTACAAACCACATGAAAAATAGTGATTATACAGCCTTCTACTTGTCATGATAGTCACAGAGCCCTTCAAATGGCAAAGTGACAGTTCTAAACATGCTTATCTCCCCAAATCTTAAATCTTCTTAGAACATACCAATATATGATTTTTCTACATTTCAAGAAATTTCAGATTTTAAGCTCTAACACAGACAGTGATGAAGAGGACATATAATGGGGAGATAGTAAGACAGGTTTCATTGAAAAGCACACATTACTTCATAGGATACTCTGTTTAGCAACCTGATCCATTCCACATGATTAAACAAACTGATATAAAAGAAATCACATATTATTATGACCTCAGCCTAAGAAAAAATCTTTCCTTTCTGTTAAAGCAAGTTCCAAGATATAAGATGGATTCCAATTCTTTTAACAAGAATTTACGAAATTCAAATGATTTCTGAATGTTCATCCATTGCCTTATATGAAATTTTTTTTACATTTTGGGGAAGAAAAATATACTGATATTTTTAACATAGAGGCTTACAGGTACATGGACTTTTCTAAACATTTCAGCTCCTTTGCGTGCATCCAATAAAGCCACGTCTTGTGGCGTGGAGATGATCACAGCTCCTAGGTAAAGAAAATATGAAATCCCATTTAAATGTGTATTATTAATTATATTGCTAAATATTTTGATTATTTAGTACATACTACTACTTCAAAGTAGTCACACATTTATATGCTTTTAAGGAAGAAAGTGATGCCATGTTTTTTATAATGCAATGACCAAATAAGAGATAAGATATGAAGTAATAAAAATAATTTAAATATTTTCATCAAAACTTTTTCTATGTAGAAACCATTTATATTTTCTAAATGAGAAAAATTATCTACTGTCATATGACAACGGATAGAAGACAATGTGGTCCATATGCTGACAGGTTGCAGAAGTGGTACTCTGGGAATATCTACGCAGTAACTGTCTCATGCCGTAACTACATTTGAAAGCTTTTAATTTAACAATAAGCCTTGTCCTAAAATCAAGAGGCAGCTGCCTGTAATCAGACCGGACCTGGATGCCTTCTGATACAAGCACTGACAGGCACAGTCTTGAAACACGTCACACTAGACACAGCACCAGTGACTTTGTAGGAACGGTAACAAAAAGAGGCCAACTCATGCACACTTGCACTAGGTTTGAATCAAGTGTAGTGTTCAGACTGTTCAGACATGGCTACAGGTTATCTGATAATTAGTACTTCCAAGAGTTATTAAGCATATAAAACAGCTAGAGCTCTTTGTCAAAGATTAGATTCTAAACTAAAGTAAGTCTACAGGTTACTATCATATACTGTATTAGTGTATTATTGTATTACTTCTTGATTAATACAGCCTGCAAAACCAATAGAGACATTAGAATATTCCACATCACTTCACAAAGAGCATCTTTTTCCATACGCTCAGGGGTTTCAAATATTATTTCCTCAAAACCATTCATGCTCATCCCTATTTTAGAAAAATGCAATGTGCCAGAGGACATTACTGGTCAGTTAATTAGCTTTGATTTCACTGTGATCATCTAGTGTCAAAAGTATCTGTTACAGAAAAATGTAGAGTGGCATTAAGCCAACCATGCACAGGAAATTTATGTCAAACTTCACACTAACAGCCACTACAACAGACAATTTCAGATGCTTGAGAGAGACTTTACTACAGGGTCTGCAGTTTCCAATCCTTGGTGTACGCAGCAAACAAAGAGGTAGGTAGATATCCAGAGGCATACAACCTTGGCATCACTGGCAGGGTCCGGAGCACCAGAAGCTTTGGCATTCTGAGAGCACTCCTGGCTCTGGCAGCACTGGGACAGGGAGCCCTGCCCCTCATGCCATCCACCTCCTGCCGGGTGGCACCTTGCCTGCCTGACAGCCAGCCGTTTCCAAACACTGCCTGACAGTGCATTTCAATGTTTTCAACCAGCACTCTTAACCTCTAATTTGTGAAAGAAAAATACTACCTGGCACCTCACTCCTGAAAAGCTGCCAATCTCTGCCTTATATAGTATTATAAACAAGTCCAAAAACTGAATGGCATATGTAATGTACCAAGTAAATGCAATTTCCCTATTGTTCACTAAAACTCTGGCATTCGAATAATTTGCTGGTTTTGCCAAGACAACCTCTTTCCAACAGCATCACAAAGAATAATGTGGAAGCCATTCAGTTACATCCAATCCACCTTAGCTCCTCATTTCACTAAACACAGGGTTACACTTTTCAGCCAACACTGAAATGTAGGGTTAATTTCACAAAATGAATATACCTTTCCCTAAAAGCGCAGGCCACAGCTAAATAATTTAGACTGTTTGAGTTTTCTGTGTATTTGTAGAACAAGGATCTTTCAATACTTGGACAAAAAGCTTATAAATGCTTTTTTTCCAACAAAATTGGAAATTTGTACCTTATGTGTATACACTCACGTTAGTTACTGTACACCTTTATTCACGTTCTTCTTTCAAGATGCTGGCTCAGGATCTCCTGGATCTTTGTGTAGAAGCTTACATGCACTCTGGTTCATTAGTAATTTTTTTAAGAATCTAATAATTGGCATAGCATGAAGGATGGAGACTATGAACAAAAAAACACCCACTAGGACCACAAGCAGTTTCACTGAGAGTTATTTTTGACTAACAAATTCTCATCCAAAGGGAAAAAGCAAAAATGCCAAAAAGACCCAGTGGCACAATGCAGAGTTTTGGCTGCCACAAATACCAACTCTCTGTACAAAAACCCTCTGGTTTCTGAAATATATGAGTTAAAATTATGCTTATGGACAATTTGCATGGTTTCTTCCACAGATGAAAGCCAGCATGCTCAAGAAGCTGCTGTTGAGGGTGTAATAGATGTTTCTCTCCTATTTTCCTTTTCACTCTGAGCTGGATTACAGACAAAATTTATTCACAGCCAGCTTGTACTGACTTATACCAATGTCCTATAAAGTAAGTATTTTTCTCTTTCTATGGTACAACTGCTAGTCCAGCAAACCCAACCTGAAGTTCAAGAATTCAAATTATTTGCAGCATTATTTCCTTTACTAGCAACTGAATATGGCAAATGAGACTTTTCATGGTGCTCCCCTCCCTGAATAAGTTTGCATATTTTTAATTCAGAAAGTGATTAAAATCATAAGCAAGAAAGAACACAGCCCACACTTTCCTTGCTATCTTGACTCTACATGGTTAAGAGGACTATCAAACAGTAAAGTTATTTTAATCAATAAGGGAATGAAATATGACTGCATTTGTGTACACAGTGTCTCAAAGCAGTACGTGCAACGTTTACAGAAGTCTCTGTTTGAATGAGACAGACTAAGGCTGACAAATTGAACACAGAAACTGCAGAAACTATAATGCTATCACATTGTACATTAAAACATACTACAAATTCTGTGTTTGCAGTTGTGTGCAGAATAATTTCTGTGCCTTGAGCATACTAAGGACATCTAAGTAGAGCACACTTATATTTAACTGACTCATCTACTTATTCAAGCATTCCATTTATTTTTGTAATTTCACTGTATGTCAGTTGACAAAAAGCTGATGCATGTTCACCGAATCACACAGAAGCTGTGGATGGGTAGGGCTGGAAAGGACCACTGGAGGTCATCTAGTCCAACCTCCCTGCTTAAGCAGAGTCCCTTAGAGCATGCTACTAAGGATTCTGTCCAGATAGCTTTTGAGTATCTCTCCAGCAAGGGAGACTCTACAACCTCTCTGGGCAGCCTGTTCCAGTGCTCAGTCAACCACACAGTAAAGCAGTTCCTCCTCATGTTCAGGTGGAACTTTCTGTACATCAGTTTCTGCCCATTACCTCTCTTCCTATTGCTCAGCACCACCAAGAGGAGCCTGGCTCCTTCCTCTTGACACCCTCCCTTCGGCTGTCTATATACATTGATAAGATCCCCTCTCAGTCTTCTTCTCTCCAGTTTAAACAGGGCCAGCTCCCTCACAAACCTTTCCTCATAAGTGACATGCTCCAGTACCCTAATCTTCATAACCCTTTGCTGGTCTAGCTCCAGGAGCTACATGGCTCTTTTGTACTGAGGAGTCTAGAATTGGACACAGCAGTCAAGGTGAGACTGCATTAGCAAAAACTATGTTAACTGTCCTTAGGACACATGATACATAGAGATAGAACTAACAGTATCCTATAATAACATTGATGTTTCCCTTTCTTTTTCAACCCCGGGTCCTCAGTCCTCACAAAAAGAAAGGTGTGCCAACACAGCACATTGGTACTCATCCTTGGGTGGACTGGTGTTCAGGAAATTACAAGCGCTTAAACAGCCTATAATTCCTGTGTATAGAAAATATCACCTATATTCAATGCACCATTAAAGTTTGCATTAGATACTCTGAATTACAAAGCATAAAGTGAAATCTCACCAATCCCTAGCTATAGTCAATTTGTACCCAAGCAAAAACCAGAGAGGTCTAAAAACCAGCTGATAAACAGCAATGTAGAAGGTCTACCTTAGGACGAAAAGGATCCCTATAATATATTCTTTCTTCCCTGTAGTGTCTTTAGAGATAGACCTCAGGACCAGGCTAGGTGCCTCTCATACAAACAGATGACTAAGGATCCCTCCACACACAAGTATCAGACTGTGTCTTATGTCACCCTCTTGGCAAACAATGCCACCTCAAAAGCTGGAAAATGTAAGTGACCAGGAAGACTGACACACAGAATTCTGGAGGATAAAGACACAGAATAATGAGATCTGCTGACTGACAGGCACTGAATGCTCTTGGCAAGAAACCACATGCAGGCCTCAATGCAGCTGTAGATGGTCTGATCTGAACCCACCACTCATGCGCTTTTTGTAGCTTTTGCTACCTTTTCCAATGCATTAATTTCAAACTTCTAGGTGAGACTTTCCAGTTATAAATAGCCTGGTTAACCTGAATCTTCTCTACAGTGGATCTCTTCAGAGTCCCTCTGACCTTCTATTATATTTCTTTTTACTTCATAGGTAAAATGTGCCTGCAAATACAGATACACTTTGCACTTGAAGATGCAGAAAAAAGTCTTGCAAGAACAAATGATAACAGATAATCATAATAGATAAACTAACGTTAGAAGACTGTTCATCTCCTTGGATAAACCTTATAAAGAAGTTCCTTTAGCTTTTGTGTGTGACATCTCATCACAACTAGCAACTTAAAAGAACCGTTGGTGTGATTTTCCATTACAGGGTCCTCACTTCAAACTCATAATACAGCTCAAAACTGTCCCAAGGGCTGGATCCTCCAGCTTGCTGTGTCACACCTCCAGCGTACTCACTGTTTTCTTCTTGGAGGAGTCATTGAACACCTGTTCAGACAGTGTATGTTTCCAACACATCCTCTCCTGTCCAAGAACTAGCAAGTAATTGTACATAAGGACACTACTACTGATTTGCCCACGAAAAGAGAACAGAAATCTTAGAGCAAGATTCTTCCTCCTGCTAAGTCAAACTGTGAGTGAAACCAATGAGCAGACGAATACCACAAGCTGGATAAAGCTGTCACCCTAAAGCTAAACTGCCCTCATTTAAACTGACTGGTAAGTATTATAACATCCATTTCACACTAG